AGGGTACGTGAGAGGTCACAATTCAGAGATGGGTTTATCAGGTTTAGTGAGCAGATGTAGGGACAACCCCTGTTCCAAGAGGCAGATCTACCTAGCAAGAGTTGACAGCAGGCAGGGGTTCCTCCCCCAAGATCATGAGACTCTTCTGCCCCAGGGCTCTCCTGCACTCAGCTTAGCCCTTTTCCGGAATGATCCTCTGGCTTGCCATCAACACAGGCTCTGGTCCACAAGGGAAATGTTCTCTAGTTCTTCCAGTACTTTCCAAACCTCTGTTGTACTGAATCGTGGTCATGTGGCTTACATCCTGGGACGAACATCCAAGAACTTTTAACGGTATCAATTTATGTCCTCCTATTTGAATCGTTATGCCCGGCGACACCACAGTACTGGTTTATTTTCTCTCTTGCTTCAAGGGGCAATTTAGGCCCCTTTATATACATATATTAAAAAAGAATATCAATACATTGATATATCAGGAACAAAGTTCCCTCTAAGGTGCACAACTGCATGAGTGTGACTCTGCTCCCTCCACACAGCACACACCGCCCCCACCCCCAGGGGGTTTACCTACGTATCAATGTATCGGGCATGAACAATAAACAAAAAATTATTTTGTGTGCCGCAGTAATGTTGGCCACCTTCCTGGTTTCGTTCTGAAAAGAATCGGGGCAGGTCATGCGCACATGGAATCCCAGTAAAGAATGCACAGACACAACAAAGGTACAAAATAACACAACCCTCCTGGCAATGGGGAAATTTCTCGCAGTTACACTGCTGGCTGGGAAAATGTCTTGATCTTGATGGCACGTTATATGACTAGAAGAAAAAAAAAGCAATGAACTAATTGGGAATTGCTAGAGAACATTTCCCTCATATGATGAGGGCCACAGATAAAACCTGATATTTCCTGACTGGAAAACAAGGTCTCTCTTCAACCATCATTGAGGCCCTGGAAGGCTAGGATCCTTTTCTCTGTTCCCTCTTTTCACACACATCCTTTGTTTCAGAGCCACAAGTGGGAAGGCAGAACCAAAAGGTGTGTAACTTCCATCCCTCCATCATCTGTATTTGGACAAACTGGAGGGAACGTTATCATCAAGCTCCATTTGAGAAGGAAACAAGGGTGTCTGTGAGGGTGTTGGGGGGGGGAAGAGAGAGAGAGAGAGAAAAAGGGGGGGGGGGGGGGGTGGTGGGGGGGGGGGGGAGAGAGAGAGAGAGAGAGAGAGAGAGAGAGAGAGAGAGAGAGAGAGAGTTTGGGGATAGAATTTTCTGATTTTACCTCATAATTCTCAGTGCACATATGTCTGCATTGGTTTTTATGGTGTGAAATTGTTCCCCCCTCCGCTGCAACCTACAGCATGTGACAAGACAATCCTATATGCCAACAGCCCTTGGAAGTTTGGATTAGGGGCAGGGAGGGTGGGTGGTGCTCTAATTGATCACTGCTTTGGTTGGCGACGGAATGTATATGGGCTTCTTTTGCCCCATGGAAATGGGCAGGAACAGCATCCTGGAGGGAAATGGGCACGCCATCCCTCCCTGGCAGTCAGCGTGGCACTGAGGAATGTTGAGGAGTGGAGGGGGAAACTGTGTTGTGCAGAGCTCTGGCTCCCCCCCCACCTCCGGTATCCCGTGAGGCTGTATCAGTAGTTTGGTCCCAGGTCCCCACCCCTGTTCACCACATGGTTGGTTCGCTTGTTTTCCTTGTGCAGCCAGTGAGCACTTTGGCACAACAGAACTCCAGCTCCCCCTGGGGAAGGCATTGGGGAAGACAGGAGGGGGAGCCAAGCTCCCGGCAGTGCCCAGCCTGTAGCTCCAGGGAGCACAGGGGGTTAAGTG